GCATGATGACTCAAGGGAGCAGCATGTATGTGAAGTTCAAAACCCACGTGAACCAGAACACTTGACGCCGAACACTGCTGGTGAGACACATTCTTTGTCCTTCTGGGGAAACTACTTCTCTCTAGTGACAACTCCTACTGAACTGAGAAGTCAGATAAAAGAGACTAATTTTTCCTTCTGTGTATATGGATTATTAAAACATCTTCTCAAAGGCCTGTTCGCATTTACAAGTCTGACACTGACATATTCGCACCAGAACATGAAAAGAACTCTAGAAGTTATGTGAGATGCTCCTGGTTTGTGAGTCTCTATCTTAGCATCCTTAGAGTTATTAACCAACTATGAAGGCAAGTACCTATGATAGCCACTCTTAAACTTCACATTTCTATCTGTAGAAACAGAATACTTTGAAACTCACAATCACATTGTTTATTGATTCCTAGAAATATGGTATTGGTTCAAACAATTAGAAATGAATAAAGTTTATGCATAACTTGGTTTTTCCTTTATATCTTATGAAGTTCAATATTTCATAGTCAGATTTTATGGACTTGGGATGAATGGTTATTTTTCTTTTTATAGTTTTATAGTTTGTGATATCATAATATACCATCAATGCTGCCTCAGGCTGCCAAGAATTGTTTCTAGAAAGCAAAAGTTTTAAAACAAGCAAGATTATACGCCCAGAAATCTGAAGAAAAAGTCAAAGGTTTAATTTAAAAATATTTGTTTATAATACCAAAAAATCAGGGTTGAATGACTTTGTGTTATCTCTAATGGACTGCATTAAAATTTCCATCAATATTCAGATAAATTAAAGATACAATCATAACTTCTCTTGTGTCTTCTTAGCTATATCACCTAATAAGTTAATATATGGAGGTAATTATATTTTATGAACTTGCTATTTCCAAGTTTTGCTTTTCTTAGTAAAATATTCCTTATCTAAAATTATGAAACAAGATGTTAGATACAGCATTTCTTTTTATTGGCCTTCAGATAAAGAAGTGTACTGTTGAGCTTAATTGGTCACAACTATACTTACATGGCCGTCAGGGGAAAGAATATCTCTTTGAAGTCCTGATTTTCTCATTTAACCTGCAAGACACTTCTAGTACTCCCAGTGGTCGCTATCCACCCACAATCGCAGCGAGTCTTCGGAGTTTCCCTGCATGTTCTTTGAAGTTGCAAGGTCCTGTTCTGTTGATCTTATTGGGAAACAGCCACAGGCCTCCCAGGATCTCCCTATGCTAAGTCACAGGAAGGCTTTTACCTAATTGTCTTGCTCAGAGCACTGACAAAATTGCATTAATGCTTTGTGGGTTTGTATAGGAATCAGCATCATAAATAAGCATGTATACTAAGTGTGTGTGTTAGTATAGTATTGAGGTATTTAATTGTGTATCTGTGACAAGTTACTATGAGAAAACTGCTTGCTCTGGCTATGTGAACGCGTGCTTGATTGTCAGAATGTGCTCTGCAGTCTCATGAAGGATCGCTCCACAGTACCCGTGCACCTGTATGAGCTGAGTGCCTCTTTTCTAAATTGTTGCTATGAATTGATTTACTTTCAGTCCTTCCACCTCTGCGAATAAGTGTTCTAAGGCCCAGCAATTGAAAAATGGGCTTTGGACATCTACTGCACCAGACTGTGAGTGTTTCAATTGGTGATACTATCTAAGTGATGTAGTGCCCTCAGCTCTTCCCCTTTATTCTTTCTATACAGCCCAGGGAAAGCTAATTTACTTGGGTTGCACTTCCCAGGAAATAGCGTTAGTCTCCCAGCCAAACATATTATACTGTAGATATCTATTTGCCAAAGTCTTCTGTAAATGGCAACAAGCATTTAGAGAAGGTCGTACTTAGCAAAGTGACACTGCTTGAGTGACTGTAGCCTTCATATTCTAAGCTATTCTAACTACCCAGTAGATGGTGCTGTTAAATGGATGCCCTGTGCCCTGGGTTTTGTTTTCTGAATTGAGCTGTACCTGAACTTGTGATGATATAAAAGCTTGTCCACTGAAAGCTGTGCTTTGGGAGACACACCATGATTTAGGACTGGGTTTCAGAAGACTTGTGATATCAAAAAGAAGAATACAAAGAAGGAGGAGAAAGAGGATGAGGAGGGGAAGGAGAAGAAGGAGAAGGAGGAGGAGAAAGAGGAAGAGGTGGTGGTGGTGGTGGTGGTGGTGGTGGTGGTGGTGATGGTGGTGGTGGAGAAGGAGGAGGAGGAGGAAGAGGAGGAGGAGGAGGAGGAGGAGGGACAAAATTAGGTGTCTTAAAGACCACAGAAAATAATCTCAAAGCTCCAAATATGCACACAAAATGATCTCCAGGCTTTTGAGATGTCTCTAGACTACAGGGGAATATTCCAAATGTTGCCAAATGAGTGAGGTTAACTGTGGACTTCAGAAAGAGGAAATGTGTATGTGCACATGACTCTCAGATAGCAGAGCACTGCTGTCAAGCTGCTGGTGGTGAGGAGCTGTGGCAGTGTCCGTGGCCCTGATCCTCACTGGCACTGAGGAACCTGGATGATCCGTGTCACCCCCCACAAAGTCTGTAGTGTAGGAGGGGTTGAAGGAAAAACTCAACCTAGCAAGTGTGAGGGCATATAGGACAAAATGGGACTCCGAAAACTCAAGCAAGACACAGTAGTCCTGGACCTGGTGCCCAGGCTGTGGTCTAGAAATCCCTAGGAAGTGTGAGGTTAAAGTGATGACATTAAGGAGACTGTGAGCAACAAGTGAGTTTAAAATGTACTAAATGTATTAGATTTTAGTTCTGGGGATGGAATAAAATAAATGAGACAAATGATTTTGTATTGACTTTATGGATAGTTCTACTGAACCTAGGACTCATTGATCTTGTTTCTTGACTATTATCTTGCCAGGATAATCTTAGAGGAGTATTGAGGAGAACAGTGTAGAGCCCAGAAACCAAAATGTGGGGGTCTCTTTATCCATGATGTTGAACCATACAGAATAAACAGAGCAGAAAGCACTGATGCAAGAGCCCAAACTACATGAGGGAAGGTGAGGCTGGGGATGAGGAGTTCCAGTAGTCAACCTCTTGGGTCACTAGAAGGACTAGAGGTGGTGTGGGAGCAACTCAAGGCTGTCAGGGTTGAAAATGTCCCGACAACTTTCAGCAGAAAACTATGTATAGGACATAGTGGATTATCCTTCTTAATATATAGTTATAAAGTATAATGAACACATTCATCTTAATATATATCATATCACATCATATATATGTACCCTTTTTATTTACCCATTTATCCAGAGCCTGTATCTGTTTCCTGTCATCTATCTTTCATGTTGTTCCTTAAGTTACTTATACTTTTGCTTTCTCATAAAGGAGAAACCATGTGATAATTAATTTTCTGTGTCTGGTTCATTTCACTTAGCACTCTGGTCTCAAGATAGTTCAATTTTCCTGCAAATGACTCAGATTTATCTTTCCTTAGGTTATATGAGTATTCCATTGTACCTATCTGCCATATCTTCTTTATCCACTCATCTATAGATTGACATATAGGCCACTTCCAATATTAGCTTTTATGAGTTATGCTGTGAACATGGGTCTGCATATATCACTGAAACATGTTTCAACTATTTTTCACAAGACATACATAGCTAGAGCTACCTTTCACAAGAAGTATAGCTAGAGCAAATGAAATTTCCATTTTTAGCTGTTTGAGAAATCTCCATAATGATGTCTAAGTGATTGTACTACTTTACCTTCCCATCACCAATGTATAAGGGTTCCTTTGCCCCTACAGCCTTTCCAGCTTTTTTTTTTTTGGTGGAACCAAGGATGGAACTCAGGTCCTTGTGCTTGCCAGGCAAACACTTATTCTGCTGCACCATCTCCCTGGCCCCTTGTTTAGTTTTGTCTGAGCTCATGATAATAACCATTCTTTCTGGAATAAGATATAATTTAATTTTTTGGTTACTCTTATTTTTATGAAAAAAAGTTAAAAAAATTTTTTTGATTTGTATTTCTCCAATTGCCAAAGATTCTAAACTTTTTTTGCATATGTATTAGCCATCTATACATCTTTTGAGACATGTCTGTATAATTGTCCATTTTTGATTGGGTTCTCTATTTTGGGGAATCTAATATTTTTATTTCTTTGTATGTTATAGATACAAGTCATGTCTGAGGAACTGTTAAATTTCTTTTCTTTTTTTCCCATTTTATAAACTGTCTCTTCACTCATCTGGTTGTTTTCTTTGCTGTAAAAATGCTTTTTAATTTGACGTAATTCTATTTGTTGACTACTGCTGTTATCTTTTGTGCAATCTTAATTCGTTTTTTTAAAAAAATCTTTGCTTATGCTTAGGTCATGCAGCATTTTACCTATTTTATCCTCCTAAAGATCTGGTGGTTTTATTTCTAGGTCTTTGGTCCATTTTGATTTTAGAACATACTGAAAAATATGGATCAAGAGTCATTCTTCTTCATATGGATGTCCAGTTTTCCAGCACCATTTGCTAAACTCTGCTGCTGACTCGAAGAGAGCTCCACAAGGTATCATGGAGAGGCAAGAAAAGCATAAATCGTAAGATGAGACCAATGACATACAGAAGAAAGTTCTTTGACTTGGAAGTAGGAAAGCAACTTGTTTTCTTGTTGCATGCTCTCTACTGTTTAAATTTCAATATGGTTATAAGAAATGTGCAGAAAAATGTAAAAATTTTAATTTAAGAGGAGTTATTTCAATTTAAGTTTATGTTAAAGAATTCATGGAGGTGAAATTCCAAAAATATCTTTAGTTCTTAAAGGCTCCAGGACAGGATAGAGGTTATTTGCTCTAGAATAATGATGCTTTAAGTAAAAAAAATATAATGCCTAAAGAAACTAGAAAATTTAAAGATAATGAGATTGTTGCATATATATTGACCAATATTTACAAACACATACTGCCCAGTCAAACAATGGAGTACAATAAAATTTATTAAAAATAATTTGATTCAAAGATGCATCAAATAACCATGAGTAATCAGACACTAGTGACAGAATTCATCCTGTGGGACTTCTCAGAAAGACCAGAGTACAGAATTCTCTTCTTAGTCCTCTTTCTCTCCTTGTATATGGTGGCACTATGTGGCAATTCCCTCATTGTGGCAGTTGTCAGCTTCAGCTCTGGACTCCACACCCCCTTGTACTTTTTTCTAGTCAACCTAGCTCTATTGGATGTTGTCTGTGCGTGTGCTGTGGTGCCTAAGCTGCTGGAGATCCTGGTGGCTAAAGAGGCAGACATCTCTTATAGGGCCTGCATGACACAAATGTACTTCTTGACGTGGTCTGTAGCAGCAGAGCTGTTGCTCTTTACAGCCATGGCGTATGATCGCTATGTGGCCATCTGCCAGCCATTGCACTATGGCTCCATGATGAACCCCAAGGTGTGTATAGCGCTAGCTGGAGCCACATGGGGTGTCAGCATGTTTGGTGCAACTGTCAATACCTGCATGATGTTAAGGTTAACTTTCTGTGGGCCCAACGTGCTCAATCACTTCTTTTGTGAGATCCCTCCTCTGTTGCTGCTCTCCTGTTCTTCTACATATGTGAATGACATCATGACGATTGTGGCTGACGTATTCTTTGCTGATATGAACTTCCTACTTACTGTGGTCTCCTATGGCTTCATCATTGCAACCATACTAAAGATCCGCACAGCTGAGGGGAAACGGCGAGCCTTCTCCACCTGCTCCTCCCACCTTACTGTGGTCACCATGTACTACTCCACTGTTATCTACGCCTACCTGAGTCCAAGCTCCAGCTACTCCCCAGCGATTGGCAAGGCTCTGGCAGCACTGTACTCCATTGTGAGTCCTGCCTTGAACCCTCTCATCTACACTTTAAGGAACAAGGATGTCAAAGTAGCTCTCAAGAAAATCTTGTTGCTCATCATGGAAAAATTGTAAAATCAATAGTCTCCAAAGTTCATTCTTTTTGTTGCTCTGTGAATACTGTGCTACCTATTGTGCATGCCCTCCATCCAAGCTGTCAGTGACATTTTTAACCTAGTTGGCTAAACTAGAGAAACATCCCTCCCTTTGGTCTTCAAAAGTATTTCAAACAGGATGTCATTTTCTACATGATGTTCCAGAAAGTTTTTTTTTTCCTGGAATGTCCCAATATACTATAGCTGCATTGATTGATTTGCAGTGTTCCTCCTGTGTGTAACGCTTTTATCTAGTTTGTTCATTGCCATTTAGGATCTCAACTGCATGATAAATCTTAAGTTAATTCTACTTAACCAGATTGAATCAGGTCTCTGTGTAACCTGCATTCCTGGTGCTCTTTTTCCTTAGAACAAATCACATAGGTGGTTATTTGACTGCGTCTTTTACTGGACTTCATGAGGAGAAAGGCTATGTTTTAGGTTAACTATTGTGTTCTTATTGCATCCAACGGGACGTAGAATAGAATAGGTTAGAAATAATCTATCAAGTCATTATACTTTACATACTGTTCAAGCCTAAGATATACATACTCGACTACTCAGTAATTCTGATATATGTTCTTGCACAAATACACACACACACACACACACACACACACACACACACACACACACACAGAAGGATACAAGTTCAAATTCATTTTTTGTATCTCTTTGGGCCGTGGTAAAAAATGGATAACTTGTACCTACACATTTGTAAATTAGTTAAGCCATACATTAATTACACATGAGTTATCATGCTTGATCTTCATGACAGATATCAGAACCATAAGACTGAGTGAGAAGGCAAATTAAAAATGGTTCTGATAAGCATTAGGTGGTAGGCAATACCACAGTCATAAAAACACTGAAGAAATATGCCATGTTTATTGTAATAAATAAGTATAAACATAGAAGAATACACATTGACTTTAGAATAATGATTACAACTAAAAAGGAAAGGAAAAAAATAAAACTAAAGAGGGAATTGCATTGTATGTGTGTCATGTAATTTCTTTTTTGTCTTTCTCTTTTTTGAGAAAGGGTCTTGCTATGCTGTTCAGACTGGCCTTGAGCTCACTTTGTAGCCCAGGCTGGTCTCAAATTCACAGTGATCCTCCTGTCTCAGCCTCCCCAGTGCTGAGGTTGCAGGTGTGTGCAACCATGCCTGGAAATGTTGAACTTCTCAAATGAATTGATATAACGCAAATATAAAAAGATGCTAGCACCTAGTTATGTGCATGTTTGAAACGTCGCATGATTAAATATAAAAAATAAAATGGCTCTCATGGAATGATCATAAAAACATAATGAATCAGAACCAACACTTTTAACATATTGCTTGAGTAATGCTTATGTAAACTGAAAGGTCAAAACCCCTAATTCAGGATAAACACAAAATTATCCCTATTTCCCCCACTATTTACCCTACTTAGGAATCATCATTGATTCTTCTTTATCCCAGAGAAGACATAAAACTCTTAAATAAACTTATCTTCCTCATTTGGTCAGCATCCCCTGAGCCGCTGCTGCTCACAGTGATGGCCTGTGGCCCCAGTATGACCATATACTTTCTTTTGCAATAGAACTCTATCTTTTATTAAATTTAATTTTAGTATTTCATTTTGAAAAATAAAAGACAAAAGCAAGAACAAAAATCAGAAACAATGACAGAAACAAGGTAGTATACAACAATACATACATTACAGATTTTCATCCATTCATAAGCTGATTAACAATGGTTGATATATTATCTATTTTTATCATCAAATATGTTGCTCATATTAACAGTTAAGTAAGATTGGACATATGAGTGCATGTTACCGCTTATTTTCCAAAAACCTTAAATTTTTGTTCTTGTCTACCTTGTTTTTCTTTTTGTCTTTTTAAAAAAAAATTTCAAAGAGAGTATAGTAATAATTGATATGACATTAGAAAAGGTACACATTCAGTAGACCAAGATGACAAGTAGTCACGCATGATTTTTGTATTACATATTGCCGTCCTCAGTGTAGTTGCTTAGATCGCAGATATCAGAGTACAGTTAGGCATGGTGAAAATTCTACACATTACCTGCTATTTTCAAAAACCTGATGGAAATTTTTAGTACAATCACCTTAGCCATCCTGTATGAATACTTGCATGATTTCCCCCCTGTCTTTTATTGTATCTTTTATACTTTCTCTCCTCATCATTGTTTCACTAAGTTCTGTTTCTTTCTGTTTTACTGTATCTGTTATAACTTTCAGGTTTTATTTCTTCTTTTGGGTTCTTACACTAGGGATATTATTTGATATTTAGACATGTGAGTCTGATTTATTTCATGAGTATAGCCTCTAGTTGCATCCACTTACATATGAAGACTTCGAGTTTGCCTTTCTTAATAGCTGAGTAATCCTCCATTGTATGAAAATAGCACATCTTTTTCATCCATTCCTAAGGCAATGGGCATTTTGGTTGCTTTAAAGATTTGGCTATGATGAATTGTGCTGTCATAAACATGGGTGCATATATATCATTGTGGCATGATGTTCTCAGTTCTTTTGGGAAAGTACTCTGCTAGGACTGGAAATCCCATTCAATCTTGCAATAGAGCTTTAGATAAGTCCACTCTCTTTTAAGTCCCTTATTGAGGTTGTATGGGAAATCTATGCTCCAAATGCCTCTGTCCACACTGGTCAGATGACACAGTAGTGGTTCTGTAGTCCTAGCGTCATCACCTACTATGAGTGCCTCCCTTTCCTGCTGTTGTTTTGCAGCCCCACAAGCATGAACAGCCTCACTGACCCTCCTTGCCCATAACTTTTATAGATGCTTTAACTTTCCTTCCTCAACTGAAGGGAAGCAAATGGCCCTCTCTACCTGCTCCTTTCACCTCCTTTTGGTCTCAGTGTTCTACTCTTTGATGTTCTGTGCTTGCATCAGCCCTGCCTCCAGTGACAGCTGGGAGAGAAGCAAAGTGTCTGGAGTGCTGCTGTCATTGCTGAGCCCCACCCTGGACCCCCTCATCTATACTCTGATGTGCAGCATGCACTGAGAAAAGCTTGCCCTTCTTTGGGTGTCAAGTGGAGACGTGTAGACTGTTGTGCCACCAAGAATCTTTCTGTGTCCCACTTCCTGGGGACAGGCTCAGAGGAAAGAAGCCTGGCTATCACCATTTTAGCAAAATCACCCTCAGACAAAGAGGGGAGACACTTCATTTAGCCTCTGAGACTGGTTGCTTCAATTGAACTGTGCAGATCACGCGTACCCAATGTGTGATCCACAGAACCAGCAGCATGGGTCCTGAAAGGTGCTCTTTCCCCATTCAGGGGAAAAAAGTGCCTGTCATCCTGTGACTCCAACAAGCCTGGTTGTTCTTGACCCTCTTCTTGTTAGCTGCCCCTGCACCCTGTTCTGGAGCGAAGCTCTAGGTAACCCAGCCCCTAGCAGTATGAGTGTCTTGCTGTCTCATACCCACACATTGGCTGGTAATGAGCATTCTACACTCACACTCCCTTCCCTCATTACATGGTCAGGCTCTATTTGCCAAGCCTCTGTCATGTTGCCCCCTCAAGTTCCTTCATCTTGTAGCCAGAAATAGCTTCTGACTCTCACTCCTGAAGTTCTGGCTACCTGCACCTCCCGTAGACAGCTTCCATTCTCCCTGGACCCTTTCTAGCTGGAGCTCCCACTATCTCTACCTAGTCCTGTTTTAATCTGAAAATGTTCACAGTGGTTTATGTCTTCTACCAGATTTCAACTCCCATGATTTCTCTCCAAGGTCTAGGTTTTTTTCTGATAAAATAGTAGTAATGAAATATAGCCAAATATCAGCAATAACTATTGATATTTTGTCCTGAATCATGAGAGTATTTCATAGTCCTCAGGACTATGCAGAAGTAGGGATGGGATTAGAGAAGTTGAGTGTCATTGTAATAGATAAAAAATAGTGACAATCAATGAAACCATAGGTAAGTTCTTGAAAGATCAAGAATATTGGGGCTGGGGAGATGGCTCAGTGGAATAAGCGCTTCCCTGGCAAGCGCAAGGGACTGAGTTCAATCCCCGGTTCTGCCAAAAAAAAAAAAAAAAAAGAATATTGATCACCCTTTAGCTAGATTGACCAAGAATCATATTGTCAAAATCAGGAATAAAATGTGGACTTAATGACCTTTCAGAAATAAAAATGATTTTAATGTATGTGAACACCTTCATTCAATCATTTAGATAAATCAGAAAATATTCTAAAGAGTCACAGTATACCAAAACTGATTCAGGAGAAGAAAGAAAAATTAGGAGTAGATTTTCAATTAAAGACATTCAATTACTAGTCAAACTTCACACACATGCACAGACGCATACTCAGGTACACGTAGGCATGCGCCCAGAGTCTTGGATGTTTGGGTAACAGAAACTATTTTGGTAAATTATTTTTCAGTCTATATTTTATTAGTGCATGTTTCCCTTATCTAATGATCCATTCATCAAGGGAAGTCTGCACCTATATATAATATAGCTTAATTCTTTTTGTCACACTCCTCTTTTCTCCCTGCTTTATCTCCCCATTTACACAATTGTTCTTTCCATTTTTCCATTCATTCTTTTTTCTCTTATCCCTTTCTCCTCCTCTCTCCTTTGTTCCCCTTCCCATTTGAGCAGATTCTTCCTACACTCCAATCTTTGTGCTCCATTTTGCTCCTTGTTTACCCTTTGGGCTTCTCATGCAAAAGAAATGATTTGGTATTTAAACTTGTGTGTCTACTTTACTTCACTTAAAATGAATCAAATCTGGTGATGCATCCATTACCTAAGAATGCTTAAAGTTTATCCTTCTTTATTGCAGAGTAGTACTCCATCATCTATAAATGCCACATTTTCTTTATCCATTCATCTGTTAATGAGCATTCATTAGCTTTTCCTAAGTTTAGCCATTATAAATTGTACTGCTATAAACATTTGTATGCATATATCACTGTGGCATGATGCTTTTAGCTATTT